GTCTTTCTAATCAAAGCAGCAGTTTTTCTTAATGGAGACGATCCTGATATATTCGTAATGGCGAGTTTTATTACTATTTGCATGAGCGGTATTTATATTCTCAATGGAAGATCCAATGACAACATTACCGTAGCATAGATATTCATCTTTTGAAGATGTATATATTTTCAGAGAAGCAAAGTAATCATAGTCGGCAGTTGAAGAAAAGGAAGGTTGGGCCGTTTTGGGATATACTATGGGGCTCGTTTTGAAGTCCCTTAGTTTCTTTTGAAAACAACAACTTAAATTGATGGACATGTCAGCCTTTCGCTGACAAAATTCTCATTTGATTTCTCGGTTATTGAATGCAGATGTATCCGGAAACGAGATACATCTAGAGATGGGATGTAAGAACAACGTAACACGTTCTCGTTCTTTTCGTCTTGTGTCTTGCTATTGTAGATTTCTTTCGTTCTAACGTTTGGTATATAGCAAGACGCACACTCTTACGAAAAGAAAGCGATAAGACAAGACTTATACTTATATACGTTTCATATTTTTTTTTCTTTTTCTTTCGTGTGTCGTAAGACGTATATCAAAACAAAACGTAAGTTTTGTAAGGTACGGGTAACGGAATCCAAGAAATACCTCACTTAATAATTTTTGTTAATGATTAATAATTGGTTATAAGCGAATGGTGAAAGATGTCTAGAAAGATGTCGCGATTGTACGATGGTATACATATATAGGGCGCCACGATCAACGCGAAAAGTGGGTATAGGTACATGGCGCCATTGCCACTCACCTATAGCGCCATCTACTGCTGGTACGTCTTCAAGTTGATTGTGGCACCCGCTATACGTATCCCCTCGTACAATGGTGACATGTTTCGAGCTTCTTATCATTATCATTTAGTCACAAATTGTGTAAGTTTCGTAAGTTTGTCTTGTCACTTACACAGTTTTTGTGAAAGCGTCTGACAGTTACACGATATATGTAGGTGTGAAAAGGAAAGAAAAATGACTTGCCACAAGATATTTTCTTTCGCGTTCTGTCTTGCGTCTATATATGAGAGGAGAGAAAAGAAAAGGCGTCAGCGGTCACCGTATATAGCGTACGTTAGTGAACTGTTACGAACACCGTCCCATCTCTAATCTGGAAGGTCGTGCTACGCGTGAACCGTGTGAGGTGACAGTCTCAAGTTCGAAAGAATGTGTCAGTCAGATGTAGCGCTACATCATGCACATATAAAGCTAGCAGGTCACCTTGAGTAGATTCACGAACACGCATTATCATCTTTATGTTGTATCTTTTCTCTGTTTTGTACTGCTTAACTATATGCTATTCGATAGAGCGTAAAACGCTGAATAACATGTGATATTTCCTAATTATCAAATGTTAGCTTACTATTGTGAGAAAGTTGAATTACATGAAAAAGTGAAACGTTTTGACTAAAACTCGATCTCCGACACCTTAACTTCATCATACTAAATATCTGAGTAGTCTTTCTTATGTAACTTTATTTGTTACATCACAATTAACAAGTTCAATATCGGTACCGTCGCTATCACATGAATGTTTTAAGTTTTGAGGTTTGACACTCGTATTATCTAGAGTCAAGCCACGAATCTATTATAATTATAGTACTAAAATTAGTTTGATTAGAATAGCTCATTCTCACCCTCATCCCCTCAAGACACAGGCCGAAAAGTGTACAGGATGATCTATTTAATATGTACAAATAGTTCGAACACTACGGTTACCATGGACCAAAAATGACCTGAAAAGTGGGCTAAAGCTAACAAAACTGAATACATTTGAATCGTGGTTGAAAAAACAGGATGGACAGGATCAAATTGAGCTTGACTGCAACTTTATTAAAACGAAGTAATAAGTCAAAAATAATCGTAGAAAAGTTATTCATGCATTGCTGGATAGCCAATGGACTGTTGTTATGGTCTGACGAAAAAAGCTTTTTTAAGACACTAATTTATAATCAATCAATGCTAATGAATTCTAATCGATATCACTCCGATGCCTTACACTTTTATTTGCAAATTAACGGTTTATTGGGAATTGTGAAGTAATAAGTCATTTGACAGAGATTTCTTTGGCCAGATAGTTTCAACGTTTGCATCCTATCTTAATCCAACATCGTCAGATTTAAATAATGAAGAGTTAAGTGTAACACAAAATATCGCATCAAAACGAATGAATCGTTTTCGTTATTCTACGTAAGCTTCTCCTGATTTTTTATTTACTTATTGAAATGTTCGCTCGTGTGTTTGTTTTCTCGCAGATCTCGCTACAGTGAAGGTATCATTTCAACAGCATCACCATTGATTATATTTGAACATGCGGCTCACAAAATACTCTATGCCATATTAGGTAAACTTATTATTTGTCATCATCTATCATTTTTTGAAAATAAATTAAATCAAATTAATTAAATTGAATTGAAACATTTGAATTAATACACTGTAGGACTTGCAGTCATACTACTGTTCGTCTCCACTTTTGGTCAGTTATTTTTATCTATAACTTCCAAACGACAAACAAATCGTATTCGTATTAAATTATACAAATTTCTCTTAACAAGAGTAAGATTTAATCCTATATATATGGATTCATTCTTTAGGATATCTCTTATTTCTTTTTTAGGATATTTCTTATTACGATACGCACAAAGCAGGTGAAATGAGTTCAAAGTTATCAACGTATGTTCCCTCTATTAGATAAAAATAATCTGTCGTCGGTAATTCTTATAATTTGGAGAAATATCGATAAAATTCACGATGGTATAAGCTTCAAATTATATTCTCTTATGGTAATGTTTTGCTCCTGTATCTGTACCATTATATAGCTTTTATTATAAATTGGAAATTAACATTAATTATGCTAGTGATATTACCGTTATTTATAGTGAATGGGTTAATATTTGTAAAAGTATGGGATGCCTGTTTTTAAATAAAAGCATTCATATTGTTGTCTTGTATTATTACTCATTGTTTTCTGTTAGTTAACGGCATTAATGACAATGAATGAATTACAACCATATTCAAAATCTGGCGCAATAGTACAAGAAGTATTTAGTTCAATCCGAACTGTTTTTGCTTATAATAGTTCAGAATACGAGCAACTACGGTAATACTTAAGTACTCCTTCCATCTTTTTGGGCATTCCGTAGAAATGCTGTGAAATAAAAACTAAAAGTGACTAGGGCTTTGCATTTTCAGAACTGATTGGAAACTCAATAGAGCACTTTTCTTTTTTGTTTCAAGTTTTCAACTATTGCCGTTCACCAGTTTTTCAGAAAACTCGGTTTTTCATTGTGCCGCATTACGACCCCCTTAAATTTCATACGATCTAGTTCAAAATTTTACCAGAGCTCTTCAAGGTCATTCCGCACAGGTAATTTCTGGGAAAGTTTTTTGACACCTTTCCTGGTCAAGTTATAGGGAAAATACTGAAAAACGTTTCAAAAACCAAGTTTTTCAATTTTAGAAACCTTATAAGTCGGTAAAGAAAAGTCTAAAATAAAATTCCAAAAAATTATCCCTGCAATGGTGCAGGGGAGTACTTCTGGTAAAATGTTGAACTCGACCGGATGAAATTTAACGGGGCTCGTAATGTGGCACAATGGAACGTGGTAGCAAAAAAACAGTTTTCAAGAAAAAACGCATTTTGTACATAGGTCACTGTTTTCACAGCATTTGCCGCGATGTTTATACCTCCGCGAAAACTCATGGGAAAATTCTGTAAAACATCTCATTGTGAAGAAAACACTTTCTTCTATCAGACTATCTGTAAGAAAAATTTTGCATGAACAGAAAATGAGAGAAAAGTTTATGAAACTAAAAAGTTGAGATTTGAGATCGGTGCCCTTAATATAGATGTCATTATATGAAGCTGTCGTATGAGATTGTTTTTGTTCTTGTTTAGCTATAATAAATATTTGGATTCATGCAAACATGAAAGTAAAAGAAAAGGCATTCTATTTGGATGCTATATGGGTATTTATTCAATGATAGTATATATTGCATATGCAATTGGTTTATATGTCGGTTATCGACTAATTTTACATACTAATAGCCAAATGAATAAAAACAATCTAATTGGAGATATTAGTTTTGTAAGATTCTTTTATTAATGTGTTTGACATACGAAAATATTATAATGTTTAATTTTATCTTATTTCGCAGATTATTTCAGCTATTATAGAAAATTTTATGCTCTTCGGCGGTTTAGCTCAAAATATTCATTCTTTGTCCGAAGCAAGTGGAGCAGCTACTGAAATTTGGCAGATTCTTGACGATGAGGTATAGTTTTATTGACAAAATATACGAGGTATAAAATGATTATCTCATTTGCAGGAACTACTTAACGACAATTTGTCTCAAACAAATAAGGCAATTGAAGAAAATATTGCTATAGTTGGTGATATTGAATTTAATAATGTTCAATTTTCATATCCAACAAGAAAAGACATTCAAGTACTAGACAATTTAAATTTAGTTGTTTCTCATGGTGACAAAGTAGCCTTGGTCGGATCTAGTGGGGCCGGTAAACTTTATCTGTTAACTAATCTACTACATTTTTTTATTTACCCAATTCATTTTTTTTGTTTTACTTCCGTCAGGTAAGAGCAGCTGTTTTCATTTGTTAGAGATCATCCATTCAGGATGTTACACTTAATAAAGAGCTTTTTCACTATCCTTTTGTCCGGTTTTGTCCAGTTTGAACAAATCTCATCCTCCTTTTAGACGTCGCCAAAAGCTTCCATTTTCAATTGTTCATAATTCTTTTAACACTTTTTCTAACAAGTCATGATAAAAATGACACTTAGTTCCTTCGATACTCATACAAATATACGCTTATGCCTTGTCTGGATCGGTTAGATAAAGAAGATCATCTACAATGAGCGAGGATAGAGAACAGAAAATTTTGAGAACTAGACTTTAAGGTAAGTCATTATAAAGATTAAAAATAAGATGGGACCAAGAATACTTCCTCACGTATGACTTGAATAAGTCAAGTAGAGCACCAGAAACACCGGCCAAGGATAGTTTTCTCAGTAGAATTTCGTGTGGTACACGGTCGAATGCTTTTCGAAATCGAAATAAATGCTAACTACTTTTTGGCGTTTATTTAACTCCTTCACCCCATTTGGATCATTGTCAACCCATTCGTAGAAAGGATTTAGTGGAGCAACAAAGCATCGATCAAGAAGCTTATTGAACATTGTGTAGAGAATTCAATAAGCCATAGATTCATAAAAAATAATTTTTTTTATCACTCCTTGGCTAAGGTATTTGAGTCTGAAAACGATGAATTTTCCAAAAAGTGAAAAAATGTGATTGCTTTTTTCTTTTCTTTTTCAATCATGAGGTGTCTCCGGATGCCACAAGTCCTTTTGGTGCTTTTTTGTGATATCCTACCTTTGTGTAAAATAAAATTTCATTTCAATTCAATTCAACTTGAGCAGATTGACTATTTTTATGTTTGAACAGTTGATATATACTCCTATAGGCGTCATTTATTTGCAGAAAAATGTTTAAAAATTGCTTGATTAGAGACGTGGAAGCAGCATTCTTCAGGACAACTTGGATCACCTCTGACCCATTCAGGATTAGTGGCGGATCTAGGGGGGAGCTGGAGGTAGCTGAGCTCCCTCTAGAAAATTTTAGCTCCATATTTATTGATAAGCTTTCGCTGCTAATGAGTATCAATGTATATACTGTATTGAGTTTGAAAAATTTTGAAAAAAATCTTGTACTGCTACAGATACTTTGGACAATGGATGCGGGGCTGAGCTCCCTCTAGGCCGAAATCCTGGCTCCGCCACTATTCAGGATGAGTGACATAAAAAATTGTTTCTTTCTGCAGTTATTTTATTTATCAATATAAGTTTATAATTAACAAATATTCCTGCTAAAAAACTTTTATTTGAACTAATAGCCATCCAGTTGAAACTATTGACACAGTGCACTTAGAATGAATGGAAAAATAGGTTTTTGACACGTCATCCATTGCAATGAGAAAGAGAAATGTCTGTTATGGTCACATTCTTCTTGTCTCTCTTTCTCCTCTTCCATTGTCTATCAATATGTATTTGTGTTTTAAAGTAACATGTAATTGTTTTAAAGAGTATCATTTTGGAACAATTTTTAGGTGTTCTTCTCCTGGATTCGATCTTCCGACCTTTCATACGCTGTACTTCTCCAACTACGCATTTTCCCATTGCACTAAATTGTGCAAAAGGAAACTACGAGTTATGATG